CAGGGTTCTGGGATCGAGCCCCACATCTGGCTCCCTGCTCAGCAGGAAGCCTGCTTCTCCCTCTCCCACTCCCCCTGCTTGTGTTCCCTCTCTCGCCGTGTCTCTCTCTGTCAAATAAATAAATAAAATCTTTAAAAATAAATTTACTTATTGTTGTTACTATTAGTATCATCATGATTATATCCCATTTGATCCTAACTTGCCTGTTTTCCAAGTGTTGTGATGACTCTGGTAGAAATTGTGCATGATATTTATTTTATGACTGCATACTAATAATTTTACAGAGCCATATTTGAGTCTAAAAGCATAATGTGATAGTTTTGTGGAAAACTTAGATGTGGTTCAAAATCTCTACTCATTTCACACATATCCATAGATTTCTGTGCTACACTTTTCTGGCCTTGGATTTTTACTGACTTATGTCTCAAAATTGTTGCATAGAGAAGTTTTTAATTCTCTGGGTGTCTTACGATAAAATCTTTCCTGAATAATGGAAAGGTTTACCCTCTAAATACCCAGAAGCATATATTTCAAATCACTTTCATCTTCAAGTACTTCATGCCCAGAGAGGAAGCTTATATATAGGTGAGGTTTTTTTTGCTCGTGTGGTTTATTTCTAAGATGGGGATGATGGTCATGGTCTAATGGTCACGATGTGGACTCTGTGTACTGCTTGCCATATGGCAGTGTTGTTCTAAGTGCTTTGTATTCATTAACTCAGCCAATTACAAGATAAAGAATATCTTGTATTTTTTCCAACCTCAGTGTTTAACCATGAGCTTCAAATAGAGTATAAAACTGACAAGCCTACCCGGTTACAAATATTTACTAGAGTTTTTTTCTTGATCTGTTTCAAGCACTTGTTATTCATTTTTAAATCATCTTGGTGCAATCTTAATATAATTCTTAGTTGAGGAAGAAGAAACCAAGGTATAGGTGAACTAAGGTCGAGATTGATTACTCTTTGCTCTGGTGATTTCATAATGCATTAATGTGCTAAAATCTAGAAGTACTTAAAACCTCATTAGAATTTAACACAGGGTAGAATTTTGAATTATGCATTATTCTAAAGAAGAGATTTATTACAGACCTATACTTATAATGTAGATGGTGCATTTTGAGTAGACTAGGAATGTAGCCAAAGAAATTTAAAATAATAGCGTATGAATATAAATGTGGAAAATTCTTAACGCACACTACTTTTTTTTTTTTTTAAGAAATAGGGACTAATTTGAAACAATTGTTTTTCCATGATTAGCTCAAAATCAGTAGTTTTATTAGCATTTATATTTGAGTTACCAGGATCTCAATGTATAGTCTTTCTCTTACTATATAATCTCTTTTATACAATATAGAACTTAATTCTTGAAATTAGAAATCTTTTCACATTAAATGTGGTCCTGTATTTAAATTAAGATGAGTACATGAATATTTTGTACTCAGTGGAAGATCCAGGCTTTTCTAAAATTACTCATACAAACACTTAGCTGGGGTTTTCTCATCAAGCAACTTGAAATGTAGTTAAATAAATAATCTTTCTAGCACTCTGATAATTACTAGCCTGGGAAAGATAAGAATTATAGTGAATGGTAGAATATATGATGCCTTTTTGGTATGCCCTTTAAAATGAAATATCTTAATATTCATATTTACATAGCTTACTTAAATCTCTTATGTTTAATATTTTATATTTGTTAGTCTTTGTAAGAAAGTAAAGCAAAAGTTCTGTACAGCTTTTAGCTCATTTAGGATCTATTTTCTTAACTCATTTACATAAATTAGTGAAAAAAATACAGAAAAGTGGGTTCTTGGTGTTTTGCCTGAATTCAGACACCAAGTGTTAATAAAATATTTAAGAAATTGTATAATTAAAGCCTAGGTGTCAAAATATTTTTTATAAATTATTATAAAATAATTTTTCTTATAAAAGGGGCTTTGTGGGTGCTCATCTCTATTGTAGTACAAAAGCAGCCACAGACAAATTGTAAATGAATGGTTGGCCGTGTTCCAATGGCATGTTTCAAAGACAAGAAGTAACGTTGATTTGTTCTGAGGGCCATAGTTTGCTGACCCCGGTATAAGATCACAACTGACATGGAAGGAGCAAGGAGCAGGAAATAAAATGTTAATTGGACAATTAGGAAGGATCTACCCAAGGAAGGTTCTTAACCTCAGGTTCACTGACCAGTTTTAGGCATTAACATGCAGCATGCTGTGCACTGGTTTCTTTCTTTTTTTTTTAGTTTCAGATGAAGTGTTCAGTAATTAATCAGTTGCTTATAACACCCAGTGCTCATCACATCACGTGCTCTCCTTAATGCCCATGACCCAGTTACCCCATCCCCCACCCACCTCCCCTCCAGCAACCTTCAGTTTGTTTCCCAGAATTAAGAGTCTCTCATGGTTTGTCTCCCTCTCTGATGACTTCCCATTCAGTTTTGCCTCCCTTCCCCTATGATCCTCTACATGGCTTCTTATATTCCACTAGTTTCTTTTTCTTGTGAAATATGTCACGCCTATCTTCACTCATTGAGACATACACTGCCTGAGGGTTTGTGCCCCCCAAATGTTAAAAACCATTCTGTTTGTTAAAAATGGCAGAAGTTTATAAAAAATGTGTCCTGGATTATTGAAACAGATACATAGCAGTTGCTGAGAAATATTCAAACCTCATCAAAGTTTTCCATGAATTAGAAAGGCTGTTCCTACAAGAGTGAGATAAAAAGGATTATAAAAGGGCATAGTTTTGAAACTGTGCTCTAGAGAAAAATCTGACAGGTTGGTCAGGGGCTTCTGTGGATGGTGAGGGGGTCAGAAAAGGAAGTGTCACTGCTGCTCCTGATTCTTCAACTGAGGCAATTCAACTTTATAGTTTATTTCAAGCCTCTGCCTATTAATATATATGAATAAAAGAAATAATACTTCTTATAAACTATTATAAAATAGTAAATTAATAATATAAATGTAGTACTTATAGTTTCTTTTTTTTTTTTTTTTTGTCCTAGCCTGTAAAATATTTCTTTAGATATGCTTTATCATGGGCAATAATTCTGCTTGGCGTTTTTTAAGCAAGGTATTTAATAATGGCAAAGTAATATTAATCTTTAATTAGGTTTGTGGGAAATATGGCTGACCAGACTATGAGTCTGTTAACCATGGCACCTCTTTGTATTTTGTTGCAGGTTTTCTGTTCTGGAAAAACAATGCAGCTATTTGATGGTTAGTCTTGGAATTACAATGTAGAAAGTTCTGCCAAGTATCTAAGTTGGGATTCTTTAAGTAATATTATTAACTGTTAAGCCATATAGCAGATTTCAGTCTGGGTAGCACAAGAGATGTATTTTACATTCCTTCTTTCCTTTATTGATCAATTTTTCTTAAGTGCCTACTATATGCCAAACACCAGGGGTCTGAAGGCTAGTATAGTTTCATTGCAAGAGAAAGAAAAAGCATTTGATTGCTATATCACATTTCTATTTTGAATTATTTTAGTATTAATACTGTTCACTTGGAAAAAAACTTATAGAGTAATTTATCAGCGTTAACTTCTTAAAATGTTGCATTTGATCAGGACTTTTTTGGATCTCCTGTTTTTAAAACTTAAATCTGGTGTGCATAGGGTAGGTTCAGGGGTGGACATGTCAGGTTTTGTTGTCACTATTTTGCAAATAAAAAAGAAAATGAGAGTGGAGAACCTTAATGAGATACCCAAGGGCACACTGTTCTTACATCAAAGATCTACTAGACTGTGCATTTCCTCCTCCTTCTATTCTTAACTACACTCCACTCTTCCTCTTCCTCAATTCCGAGCCTTGTGTTTTTCTCATATAAAGTGAGCTACACATAAAGAGAGTGAATAGTCCTTTAAAGTGTTCAGTAAATATTTTAACTAATGATTCTTACTCTTCTACCATTCATCAAAGCATGACATAATTTTAAAGAATATGTCTTTTTAAATGTTTTCATAATATGTAGACAATTTTATATAACTAGAAAGTATATTAGGCTCATCAAGTTCCTTTTTTCCTTGTGTTTATGTTTTGATACTCCTGTGGGATTGCACTTATAATAAGCTCACACACCTCGTTGATGTAAGATAAAATGTGAAACACAGGTTAATACAGGTAAATGCAGATTTATGGCATAATTTGAATACCCTGTGATGATCTCTTAAAAGCTCTTGAAAGATTCTAAAACATATTTGGTTAATAGTTTTTGCACGTACTTCAAATGTATTTTTTTCTGTTTCTCAGGCTCTATAGTTTCATGTTCTCCCCCTCACCCTGAGATAGAGCACCTTTGCCAATCCTACCCTTACATAGCCAAATCCTTTTCCTGAGAAATTGTAAAGTTAAGCTGTAAATGATTTTTCTATCTGAAAGATTATTGTAGGTGGTAAGTAGACAGCAGACATTCTCTAGAAATGATGATCTTGTTTTCACATAAATATGTTCAGTTAGAGAAATATGCCAGAGATATATGAAGAGTTGATATAGTTTATGTTCTATTAACCTTGCTTATTTTTACAGCATGTTGGTTTTATTGTCTTAATATTTACATTATCTATTTTTGGTCACTTCAAAAATGAATAAAGCTTATGCTGTAAAATACTTTCCCTAAATGGTATTTTCCTGAAGTTTTAATAAAGCATTACTAGTTTAATCATCACTAAGTGCTCATATTTTGTGCAAAATTATAATTGCAAGCATGCACTATACAATTCATCATGGGTTGTTTGTTTACTGCAAACAGTATGGTAATGAAAAAGCAAAGGTCATAGCTATCTCTAAATCTGGCTCAGAATTATTCATTAAGTTAATTCTCATTATTTTTGTGTACAAAATGCTTATAAAAAAATAGAACCATCAAAGCAGTGGATATTCCAATGAAAAATTGAAGTATAGTGTCAATGGAAGTTGAAGGGAAAATTCAACTTCTCTTTGGAATGTAATAATTGAAAATTAAATTTAAATAATATAGTGTTTGCTTTTTTACCCCCACATCAGATGGGTAATATGCCAAGGTCATAACAAGGTTTGAGGGAGACACGTATCACACAATGGTGTGAACACCCAATCATCACACTTATGAACTACAAAAGGATCTAGTGTTCTTAATCATATGCTAATAAAGGGAGATTTTGTGTAGATGTCTCTAAACTTCAGTCCTCCTTTGGGAATTTCAGTATTGTTATTAAAAAAATATAAAGTTAACACATGAACCCATACATTTCATAAAACAATTTTTATAATACAGAAGTATAATAAAGAGCAAAAGTCCCTTTTCGTCCACCTATTCCCCTCTCTTCCCATGCTTAGTCACATCAAAAAGATTAAAGTATAGATCACTAGAGTTGAATATCTAAGTTCTCCTTTCTGAAGTAGTATCTTAATGTTTTCTGTAATATAATGCTTCTGTAATCTTGTTTTCTGTAACACAGTGCTTCAAGAAATTATCTTACAGATTTCACATGACACAAATGATAGATCTCAGAGCTCTCAGATATAGGGAATACTTTTAAAGATCTTAATCTAGACACAAATCTTAAAATAAGATGTATACATACATATATGAAGATATAGGTAATGTGTAGATATATCATATATGATATATACGTGTGTGTATATATGTGTGTGTAGCAAATATGTGGAAAATCACTTCACAGATATTTCATGGAAGAAAGTAGGTATCCATTGTTTATTGGGCTGTAATGAGAGGAGGGTAGTGGAAAGATAAATCTGATACGTCAGAGATACACGTGTGTGTGTGCGCGTATGTATATGTGTGTATATATGTATGTTTGTAGAATATAAACTATAATACTATATGTTTTGGCTCTTTATATTATATGCAATGTTAATAAAATGTTATTTATAATATGTTAAATATATAATATATGTTATTTATAATATATAATGTATGTTATTTATAATATATAAATATATATGTTATTATATATATAAAATCTTCCCATTACCCTCCTCTCATTCTACTCCAATAAACAATGGATACCTAATTTGTTCCATGAAATCTTCTCCATGTAATGCTGATGTTTCATGCATTTGATGCAATGGAGACACCATGGGGAAAAAAAAATATTTGTCTCTAGCACTATGAGTTCCTTAAGAATAAAGACCATTTGTTGCTTATCATTTGTTAGCATTAATTTGTAACTGTTTCAAGTTCCACATATTTGAAGTCAGTCTAATTGGTAATTGGGTACTTCTTGAATTTCAAAAAGGGTGGAGCTTAGAATCAGAGAAAAAAAATTATTTTTGAAATTCAGATGGACCTGGGTTTAATACACAGGACACTCTGTTATTTGCTTTGTAAACTTGGATGAGATAGTTAATTTTTTTAAGTTTATTTTCCTCATCTGTAGAGATAAAAGAAAATTCATATCATATGGCTATTAAGTGTATTAAATGAGTTAATTTAAAACACTTGGTAAAAGGCGTGTAAGAAACCTTAGTTCAGATCTATATTTAAATATCTTGATATGATTCCTGTGCTTTAATATCAATTACCAATTTATAGTAAAATATTTAATACTTAAATTTTATACATATGTGGTCAAGGTGAACTAAGAATTTCATTTGCCATTTAATCTACGCTTCCAGTAATTGACCTCAAGTATCACACACTTTTTATCTAAGAAGGTAAAATTGAAAAGCCATTGAGAAGTAGGCTCAAAAGTGTGAGAATTTGGGACACAAAAAAGGAGCCAACTGAAAGAAAGAAAGAAAGAAATGTGCTTCTCAACTTTTGTTTCTGGAAGGAAGATAGGAATACTTGCATCTGCCAAGGACATGGAAGGGAAAACGGTACATAAATATATTATAAAGGGCACTGTAAGAGTTTTCATGCTTCAGAGATAAACAGATAATCATTACCATATACAAGTTAAAAATAGTATGGAAATAGTTTTTCATGGAAGATTAACAAGTGAAGCCAGAAATGTTTGTGGTTGCTCATATGGAAATTGCTTTGTTAGATGAATGTACTGACTGGGCAAGAAGTAGTCAGTAATTTGTGTGAGCTGTTACCCTCAGAGTTCAAAATCCTGTACAGAGTGGCCTTGATTTCAGATAAAGTTCATATATTGGTAGAATTATTTCTCTTTTGGCTTTTGAATCATTTATGAACAGGATTTTTTTTTTTTTAGTAGAAAAAATAACCTTCCCTCTAGCCTTGTTTATTATCAGAGTGTAATGTTCCTATGCACTTGCTTAAGTGTTCATAACAAGCTTGTAGATCCCAAAAGGAGCTGAAGAATTATTTCTGGTGGTCTTTGAATGTGTAATTGCTGCCAGGTGAGGAAGCAAAATTCCAAATCAGTTTAAGGAACTTTCACAAATAACACTTAACAGAGTTATAAGGCATAAAGCTCAATATATAGTTTACATAATAGAGTCTTACCTAACCACAGCAGAGTCAAAGAACAGTCAAAGAGAGGTCTTCACAGAGGTATATATTAACCTTTTGCTTGACACTGCACTTCTTTAGATTTATTAAAACCTTCTGGCGGTGCATTTGAAATCATGCCTGTTTAAAACATCCTTGTATGAATTTTCTATTTTGCTGTGAGCATTTCCAGGAGCATCTAACAATAATGATAAAAAAGGTGATCATCAAAAGGCAGAAAATCCTCCACCTTTGCTTAAGTACATTGGAATAAAGTGGTTTTGCGATCTTGGCCAGGGACACTTAGTGTTATTTCTTTACTTTTCAAATAGTGTGTTCAGCTTTTAGGGAAATAAAATTTAAAAAAATTCAGACTCCAAGATGGGTATATTAGTAAGTAATCATACTACAAAATTGTTGTTACTTTTCAGAAAAGTTGAATATAGTATTCATTTAAATATGGACCTTCTCATGATATCTTTGCTTTGTGGTTAGATTTAGTTTTGTGCAACTTTTAAGGATCACTTCTAATATTTTGACAAAGGGTAAATTTGTATGTGTTGTGGCTAAAATTCAATCATAACTTACAAAAGCAGGTTGAGAAATGTCAGGATTGCCCATATTCTTCCCATATACATTTCTGTATCATTTACTCCTATGTTCATTTTTATATATCTGTTAAAACTTGAGAAAGTATTCTGGAAGATATTATTATGTACAGACAGGTTTCATATGAAGAAATCATCCACTCATTGTCTCTTTGTCCACACCTCCCTCACCTCATTAAAACATGTGCTTTCTTGTCTACTTTGCCTTTTTTGAGTAGTATTTTCCCATTATATAGAGTAGAAACTGAAATCATTGAGGGAATTCTGAATATGCTTTCTTTGCCATGTATGGAAGCCCTGTACAGATCGTGTGCTCATCATTTTAGTAAAGGTCTCCCTTTATATCTTTATATCTAAAGATACTTTATATCTACAAATAATTACTCTCCCCACCTTTATTTTTTTTTATTTTTTATTTTTTTTAAAGATTTTTATTTATTTGACAGAAAGAGAGACACAGCGAGAGAGGGAGCACAAGCAGGGGGAGTGGGAGAGGGAGAAGCAGGCTTCCCACTGAGCAGGGAACCCGATGCGGGGCTCGATCCCAGGACCCTGGGATCATGACCTGAGCCGAAGGCAGACGCTTAACGACTGAGCCACCCAGGTGCCCCTCTCCCCACCTTTAGTACAGTGGTTCTCAACTAGAGGCAAATTTGCCCCCAGGAGACATGTAGCAGTAATATCTGGAGACATTTTCAGTTGCCATGACCGTGAGGGTGTGGTACTATGGACATGTAGTGAGTAGAGGCTGTGGATGAGGGTAAACGTGCAGGAAGCGCAGGACAGCCTCCAGTGAGCCTTACTCAGCCCAGAGGGACAGCCATGCTAAGGTTGAAAACTCCTGCTCTCACTTCTCTTTGATCATTTCTCCTCTGAATGATTCTTTTTAAAGTACTACTTTTCTGCATACTTTGCTGCCTAAATCACCTGATGAGGCATCTTGAAGAGGTATGATCTTGAGTATATGTCTAAATCCTGTACCCTGGTTTCAAACTTGGTCAAGTCATACATTCCAACCCTGCTGCCTTGGGGTCTTCTGTGGCCTTTGTAAGTCAGGGTGTCATCTTCACAGTCGTCATACTCTGGCATGTATTTTGGGCTTCCATATCTTCACAGCATCTCCCCCACCCCACTCCTATTCAGTGGTGCCAGAGAATTCTATTCCGTGTATCTGAACTTCCAGCTCAGTCCTGGAAGGTATAGTTGACCATTGTAAGAAATCATTCCAATGAGTTTATGCCATTATCTGTATACTACTGATTAACCATTTATTTTCTCCTTTCTGTGATTATATTTGTTTTAAAAAAATCCTTTCTATCAATGAAACCCATTTTGCAATAATAATATGAAGTGGATTCCCTTTTGAAATCAGAAGTCTTACATACTCGAGGAGCGGAATGAAAAGCTTCAGCCTCCTTGACTTCCTGCTAGATTCCTGAGCAGCCTTTGAGGCATTATCAGAGAATATTAAGATGTTAGCCCTTGTATTATTCTTTAACTTTTTGGTATATATTTCACCATAAAAATCTTTAGAGATTATAAATTTTTTTTATGGCAGGACCTACTTGTTAACACATTGCTATGTATCTCATGCTTCCCTATATAGCACTATGTATTTGTGAACAGAGTAATGTGGCCAAGTCATCAAAAGTAGTACCAGAAACAAAGTAAACAGAAGGCAGAATCTTATCCAGGGAAGATTTGTAGATTATAAGCGCTGAATAGATATAGTCATCTTTTTTGCTGAAAATTTACTAAAAATAAACTAAAAAAAAAAAACCTAAAAACAGGATATATATTCCATTCTGAAAATAGGGAACCTACTCATCCTTGAATCCCAAACTTCTAGGAATATCTTCCAGATGTTACTCAGTTTGGACCTAATTTTTAAAAAAGTTACAGAGATTCATTACTTATGTCTCATAAATAGAAGAGTTCCTTGGCAGTATACAAAGGAAGAAAGTTTGTTCAAGGGAGTTTCCCAAATTATTGCACTTTGGCAAAATGAGGCTGGGTCAGTGTTAGGAAGTTCATGCTTGCCCTTTGGAAATCCATTCTCCAATTTAGGAATGGGCAATGTAAGACAGAAGGA